ATCCCTCAGGATCCCTCAGGGTCCATCAGGATCCGTCAGGATCCCTCAGCATCCCTCAGGATCCCTCAGGATCCCTCAGGATCCCTCAGGATCCCTCAGGATCCCTCAGGATCCCTCACAATCCCTCAGGATGCCTCAGGATCCCTCAGAATCCCTCAGGATCCCTCAGGATCCCTCAGGATCCCTCAGGGTCCCTCAGGATCCCTCAGGATCCCTCAGGGTCCCTCAGAATCCCTCAGAATCCCTCAGGATCCCTCAGGGTCCATCAGGATCCGTCAGGATCCCTCAGCATCCCTCAGGATCCCTCAGGATCCCTCAGGATCCCTCAGGATCCCTCAGGATCCCTCAGGATCCCTCAAAATCCCTCAGGATCCCTCAGGATCCCTCAGGATCCCTCAGGATCCCTCAGGATCCCTCAGGATCCCTCAGAATCCCTCAGGATCCCTCAGGATCCCTCAGGATCCCTCAGGATCCCTCAGAATCCCTCAGAATCCATCAGAATCCCTCAGGATCCCTCAGAATCCCTCAGAATCCATCAGGATCCGTCAGAATCCCTCAGGATCCGTCAGAATCCCTCAGGATCCATCAGAATCCCTCAGGATCCGTCAGAATCCCTCAGAATCCTTCAGAATCCCTCAGGGTCCCTCAGGATCCCTCAGGATCCCTCAGGATCCCTCAGGATCCCTCGGGATCCCTCAGGATCCCTCAGGATCCCTCAGAATCCCTCAGGATCCCTCAGGATCCCTCAGGATCCCTCAGGATCCCTCAGGATGCCTCAGGATGCCTCAGGATCCCTCAGGATCCCTCAGGATCCCTCAGAATCCCTCAGGATCCCTCAGGATCCCTCAGGATCCCTCAGGATCCCTCAAGATCCCTCAGAATCCCTCAGGATCCCTCAGAATCCCTCAGGATCCCTCAAGGATAATTCCGCGGGAACCCGAAGGGCGTCTTAAGGGTTCCGACGCGCTTCTGGGGGGCAATATGAGAAACGTGACAGATTACCGAAGGAATCCTTTGAAAGTCACATGGCGCTCGTGAATCCGGCCATAAACCAAGTGTGAACTACCCGTAGTTTGTAGTAGGCTTCCATATATCATCATTAAAAGCATTACACAGGTACCGGCCATAGGTACACAAGTACCAGTTCGAAGCTTCCGGCCATAGACGAAGCGTGACCCTACTACTACTACTACTACTACTACTACTACTACTACTACTGCTGCTGCTGCTGCTGCTGCTGCTGCTGCTGCTACTGCTGTTGCTACTACTACTACTACCACTACTACTACTACTACTACTACTACTACTACTACTACTACTACTACTACTACTACTACTACTACTACTACTACTACTACTACTACTACTGCTACTCCTACTCCTACTCCTAGTCCTGGTCCTGGTCCTGGTCCTAGTCCTACCACTACTGCCATTGATATTACTATTCCATCTCCCATTCAGAATGACCTTTCGGTGCAGTGCCAAGGACAACCATAGGAAGCACTTGTCCCATTCCCGAAGAACGTCATGTGCACTTGCTGGGGTGTTCCTCCTCCTCCCCCTCCCCCTCCTCCCCTTTCCCTTCCTCCCAATCAGAGTCTCCTTTCGAAGCAGAATCAAAAGACACCTTTGTGAACAAGTACCCACCCCCTCAGAATTAGCCTGGAGAAGGACCCCACCATTTGCAGTTGTGAGTATCGTCTTCGGTGGAGAGTTCCCTATGGGGCCACGATATGTGTGAGAGGCGCGCCGACATGTGTGACTGGGGCGCCTGTGGGCACCGCCACTGGGGCCTTCGGTCGAGCTTCCTATGGAGCCACGAAGCGTGTGCAGGGTGTGTCGAAAATGGTTGCGGGGACCCTTGTGGACTGCGCCACTGGGGCCTCCTGTGGAGCTCCCTATGGGGCCACGAAGCGTGCGAGGCGCGTGCCGAAGTGAGTGGCCGGGGCGCCTGTGGGCACCGCCATTGGGGCATTCGGTCGAGCTTTCTATGGAGCCACGAAGCGTGTGCGGGGTGTGCCGAAAATGGTTGCGGGGACGCTTGTGGACTGCGCCACTGGGGCCTTCTGTGGAGCTCCCTATGGGGCCACGAAGCGTGTGAGGCGCGTGCCGCAATTGGTGGAGGTGGCGCATGTGGGCACCGCCATTGGGGCCTTCGGTGGAGCTCCCTTTGGGGTCACGAAACGTGTGAGACGTGTGCCGACATTGGTGGCGGGGCGCATGCGATCTGCGCCACGGGAGTCTTCAGTGGAGCTCCTATGGGGCCACGAAGCGTGAGAAGGATGTGTCAAAATGGGTGGCGGGAACACATGCGGGCTGCGCCGGTGTGACCGTCGGTGGTGCTCCCATGCCAAGCGGGGGCGCACGCGGGCTGCGCAACTGGGACCTTCAGCGGAGCTTCCCACGGGGCCACGAAACGTGTGCGGGGTGTGTCAAAATGGGCGGCGGGGGCGCATAGAGGCTGTGCAACCGAGACCTTCGGGGGAGCCGCTTGGGGGCCACGAAGCGTGTGAGGGGTGTGCCAAAATGGACGGCGAGGACGCATGCGGGCTGCGCCACTGGGACCTTCGGTGGAGCTCCTATGGGGCCACGAAGCGTGAAATGGGTATGCCGAAATGATTGGCGGGGATGCATGCTGGCTGCGCCATTCAACGGTGGTGCTCCTTATGGGGCCACGAGACGTGTGAGG